TCTACATTAATACAATGCCCCCCCACCAAACCCGGCGTGAATGTAATAAAATTCCACTTGGTGGCGGCCGCTTCCAGTACATCAAAAGTATTGATGTTTAGCCTGTCAAAAATAACAGACAACTCGTTCATCAGCGAAATATTTACATCCCGCTGTGTATTCTCTACAATTTTGGCAGCCTCCGCCGTTTTAATATTGGGTGCCCTGTATACGCCTGCAGCAACTACCAGTTCGTAAACACTGGCTATTGCTGCCAGTGCCCCTTCATCTGAGCCGGCCACAATTTTTACCGTGTTGGCCAGTGTATGCACTTTGTCGCCCGGGTTGATTCTTTCCGGCGAATACCCAAGTTTAAAATCATCGCCGCATTGTAAACCCGATATTTTTTCAATAAGCGGCAAACATTCTTCTTCTGTGCAGCCTGGGTATACGGTGGATTCAAACACCACGCAGTTATTCCTGCTGATAGATTGGCCTACCGTTACTGCAGCCGCTTTCAGTGCTGTAAGATCAGGCACTTTGTGCTTGTCTACAGGTGTGGGAACAGCTACCAGGTAAAAAACAGCATCCCTGATATCGGCAGGGTTACTGGTAAATATGATATCCGTGCCGGCAAAATCCCGGCTGCTCATTTCACCCGCAGGATCTATGCCCTGCTGCAGCAAAGCCACCCGTGCAGCGTCAGTATCAAGGCCCAGCACCCGGATTTTTTTTGCAAAGGAGAGTGCAACGGGCAGACCCACATACCCCAACCCGATCACTGCCAGCGCCGCTTTTTTTTCAATCAACTGTTGGTATACCTGCATCGCCAAAACGGTCCTCAATTCTTTTTAACTTGTTGTGCTGTAAACCAGTTCACCATTGCCGCAACGCCTTCTTCCGTTGTATACGGAGGTACAAACTGCAAACGCCGGTTAGTATTGCTGTTGTCTACCACAAATGAACCAAACAGCCTTATATACAGCGCAGGTTTTATCCGCCTCAGCATCGTTCTTATAAAAGAAGGTACACTGATCAGCATGGGCGGATGCCCCATAGCTTTCCGCATCAGGCCTATCAATTCACCGGTGGACAGCGGCTGCCGGTCACCTGCAGCAAATACACCGCCTGCCAGCTGATCTGTAATAGCATTAATAAGTGCAATAAGATTGTCTACAAACACCATGCTTCTTGCATTGCCGGTATTGCCAAAGGGCAATGGCAGTTTTCGTGCTGCCAGCTGCAATAGCCGGATCATATTGCCTTTTACTTCCGGTCCATACACCAGGGGCGGACGTATAATACTTACAGTAAATGCGGGCGATGCCAGTGACTGCAGGTATTCTTCTGCCTTTAATTTGCTGGCGCCATATGCGTCTGAGGGGTGGCAGGGCGATTGCTCATTTAATACGGTTTGAATATCATCTCCGTACACTTTGGTAGAACTGATATAAATGAAATGCGGCACACCCTGTTGTTTTGCCTCAAGTGCCAGCGCTTTGGTGAGTTCGGTATTGATTTCAAAATAGACACTGTCTGCAATGGGTTCCATCTGGTGGGCCTTTCCTGCCAGGTGCACCACAGCATCCACTGCTGCAAAGTCAACTTTCGCGGGCAACACGCTGCGCAAAGAAAGCGGCAGCAGGCGGTACTTCTCTTTGTTGTATTGCAGCAGGCGCTTTCCTACAAACCCGGTAGCACCAGTAATGGCTATTGTTTTCATTTCTTTGTTCTGGTAATAGCCGGTTTAATGTACTCAAATACCTTGTTAAGGTATTTGAAGGAAAGCAGCGCCATATTGGTATTTACACCGTTTTCTTTGCAGGCCTTTATTATCTCTTTATTGAGCGTATACCTGCTTAATACATTTTTGTTGCTGACGCCTCCTGTACGCATGTACACCAGTATTTCGGGTATATAAGCATAGCTGATGCCATTTTTGAAAATAAAACGCATCAGTAATTCATAATCTGCTGCAATTTTATAATCCAGCTTGTACAAGCCTAGTGCATCGTAGCAGCTTTTGCGTACATAAAAGGATGGATGCGCGGGCATGTACCCGTACCCAAACCTGCGGGGGGTAAACTTCCTGGAAGAATAGAGGCGGACAATTTTTTCCAGTCTGCCCGGACGCACAAAAGCAATATCACCGTATACAGCAGCCACATTGTTCTGCTCAAATGTCTTTACAATCTGCGTTACGATATGACTGCCCGGGAAAAAATCGTCTGAATTAAGAATACCAATAACATCTCCTGTAGCCATACCGATGCCCTTATTGATTGCATCGTACAGGCCTTTGTCTTTTTCCGAGACCCATTTGGCCACATGCGGATAAGACTGGATAATAGTGACTGTTTCATCTGTGGATCCGCCGTCTACCAGCACGTGTTCAATATCGGGATAGTCCTGGTTATTGACGCTTTCCAGGGTATGTGCGAGGGTAGCTGCGCTGTTATAGGTAACGGTAATAATGGAAATCTTCATGAATTGCTATTGTCTTTCTATTACACAATTCTGCAACACCAGCATATCCATCTGGGTTCGTAAAAAGCAATCCAGTGCTTCGGCCGGTGAATTAACTATGGGTTCATTTTCGTTGAAGGATGTATTAAGCAGGATGGGTACGCCTGTTTTTCTCCTGAATGCATCTATCAATGCATAATACATGGGTGAGATGGCTGCGTCTACTGTTTGAAGTCTTCCGGTGCCATCCACATGGGTAACTGCGGGTATAGTGGCGCGCTTTTCGGGTTTTATTGGAAATACTTTTTCCATAAAAGGCACTTCATCTGTTTTGGTAAAATATTCTCCTGAATATTCTTTGAGGATCGATGGCGCAAAAGGACGGAAGCTCTCCCTGCGCTTTATTTTTGAATTCAGCAAATCTTTGGCTTTGGGATTCCTGGGATCAGCGATGATTGACCTGGCACCCAGTGCCCTGGGACCGAATTCTGCCCTTCCATTGAACCATCCTACCACGCCGGGCTCAATTAACTTATCAGTAACTACATCGTACAATGCTTCATTTTCCAGCCGCCTGTATTTTATATTTCTCGACTGCAGGAAGATTTCTATTTCTTCATTGGAAAAGCGACTGCCTGTATATGCAGAAAAAATAGCCTTTGCACGGGGCTGGTTCAATTCGTGATTGTATTGGTATAAAGCAGCGCCCATAGAAATACCTGCGTCGTGCCCGGCGGAAGGAATATACACGCCTTCGAAACCGGTAGCCTCCGCCACCTTGCCATTGGCTACCGAGTTTTGTGCAACTCCGCCCGCGATACAGATATTTTTCATGCCTGTTCTTTCTTTCAGGTGCTTCAGTATATAAAAGATCAGTTCTTCTGTAACTCTTTGAACCGAAGCTGCCAAATCTTTATGGTATTGCGTAAGTTCTTCTTTGGCCTGTCTTGGCTGTCCGAACAATTCAGTGAATTTGGACGAATACAAATTTCCAACCGAGGGTATATTGTTTTCATATTTAAATCCGGCTTTGGTAGGCTGCACAAAATATTCATCCTGCCAGGTGTACAATCCATTGGGCAAAAACTTTAATACTTTTTTTACCTGGTCAGTATATTTGGCTTCTCCGTAGGGTGCCAGTCCCATTACTTTGTATTCGTCGCCATAATGCGGAAATCCCAGAAACTGGGTGAAGGCTGTATAAAAAAGTCCGCAGGAAACAGGAAAATCAACGCTGTCCAGCACCTCTATTTTGTTACCCCTGCCAATGGCAATCATGGTGGTGGTAAAATCGCCGGAGCCGTCTATTGAAAGAATTGCTGACTCTTGAAAAGGTGATGCAAAAAAAGCAGAAGCCAGGTGACTCCTGTGGTGTTCTATATTTTTTATTTTATTCTTTAAGGATGCATAAGAAACCGCAGGATCGATTTTCTTAAACTCATTCTCAAGGCTGGTTACCTCTTTGCTGTTGTGGTATCGTTTTATGGCCCCAAACACCAGCGAAGGATTTTTACGCAGGTAATTCAGCTTGTTTATAAACTTCGCCCTGGGGTCGCGGCCAATGGTAATATAATTTACTTCGGCTAAACTGATACCTGCTTCACGCAGGCAAAACCCAATAGCCAGTGCGGGAAAACCCGCCCAGTGTTTGATGCGGGTAAATCGTTCTTCTTCTGTTGCGGCTATCATCTCCCCGTCTTTGAAAATAGCGGCAGAAGAGTCTGCGTGGTACGCGTTGATTCCTAAAATATACATGTTATGAAAAGATGCTTTTATAATTAGATAATATATGGGTGTTTTCTACAAATTGTTTTGTCAATAACCATGCGTTTTCGCTACGGCTGTTGTATACAGCCTGGTCCCAGCCCACTGCCTCCCGGATGGCTTCAATGAACAAGTCCTGCCTGTTCAGCGGAATATCCCAACCGGCCCCCGCTGCGGTAAGGTTCAGCCACGGCGTCTGATCACTTATAAGCACGGGTTTACCAAGGGTCAATGCCTCAAAAATGGCATGACCGAAATTTTCTCCTTTTGTAGGCAGCATAAAAACATGATGATCGGATAATACAGACTGTATTTGCCGGTGGGGCAATCCGTTTTTGATTGCTACAGCAATATTTGCCGGCAGTTTTTTTATCTTCTGCTCACATGCTGCCCAGTACCCGGTGTCTTCCTGATTACCGATAATAGTAAGCAGTATCTTACCGGCAGTTACAGCTGCAAGACATTCCAGCAGGAATAACAGATTTTTAATTGGGTGTATGCGGCCAATAAAGACAATGCGCAATTCGCCTGTGTTTTTTACTGCAGCCGGGTGATGTGCGGTTTCATACGCAACCATATCGGGTACCACAACCGTGTGGGTGTTCTTTCCAAAATAAAGCGCTGTATCTTTTTCCTCTGTTCCGTCCGACGCAAGGAAGATTACATTTCGCTGCAGCTGCAGCAACCGGAATAATTTAAGATAGATAATTTTTTTTGCCCGTTTATGATTTACTGCGCTGTCCTTAAGCATCCCTCTGGGCGATACAAATATTTTAGCAGGCAGGTGATAAAACCGGGCTATCAAAAGCGGGAAAAAAGCAAAATTCTTTGAATAAATACTGTTAATGTAGATAAAATCAGGTGCAACCTGCTGTAGCTGTCTGCGAATGGCAGACAATCCGGTATGAGCTTCAGACGCATAGAAAATAGCAAGGTTCTCTTCTTTTTCTATCCAGGTATCACTTACAATGCCTGCCAGTGTTGTTGTTTCTCCCAGGTCTTTATTACCGGTAAATACAAACAGCTGGTAACTGCTTTTCATGGTTTCCACAAAATTCATGGTTGCCATGATGGGTCCCCCTGCTTTGTATGCAGGCGCATACCAGTCTATAAATACAAAAAGTTTTCTCCTGTTGCCCATGGTTATTTACTGAACCGGATGGCAGAAATACAATCTCCTGCTGAAACCCGGGAAACAAAAATACTGGAGCTGTTATCCGCTTTACGGGCACTGAATATCCTTGGCATGGCGGCCCTGTTATCCGCCTGCATTTTTACATAGAAAGACGGCAGGTCAATACCTCCTTTTGTTAAATCTTCCACAGTGTAAATATCATTGCATTTAGGATCTCCCTGGATAAAGCACTGTGTAGTGAGTCCTAAAAAAGCGGCTTTATAAGAGGCGTTGGCCGTAATAAACTTTAAAGGATTGAGTGTATGGTAAAAATGAATATTCCAGAGAAATAAATTAAGGTTTGGATTGGCGGGATCTACGCTGATGCCGCCCTGCAGGTAGATGTTTGATAAACTAATATTGCCCGAAAAACGATTGACCGAAACTGTAGTCGCACTGTCTGCACCCACCGGTGCTATCATA